GCGGCGGGAGGAAGCAGGCAGCGGCCTGGGCGAGCAGCTGCAAGGTGTGAACGCCGAGGGAGTGGAGCATCGTGAGGGCTGCTGGGCTCCGGCTCTCGCCCCTCCCACACACGCCCGCCTGCCGGGCTCCTTGCAGCTCAGCTGAGCTCCCGCTTCTCTTTAGGCCCATTTTATAGTCAGGGATTTCAATGAAAAGTGACTCCAGCTCCGGCCGGACCCGCCCCCTTGGCACTGGAGCCTGGGGGTTACCTGCCCCTCCCCGCCAGTGAGCTAACAATGCTCAGCTGCAAGGGGCGGGCCCCGGCGCGGGGAGCCAGGACCCGGCCGGGCTCCAGAGGCAGAGAGCAGGCCCCACACCCGGCCCGGGACAGGGCAGCACTGAGGGGAGCCCGCAGCGCACGTGTGGGGGCAGCGGGAGTGGTTGCCAGAGGCGCTGCCAGGAGACAAGACCTGGCTGCCTGGAAGCAGGGCCAGTAGCTCCCTGCCATTGAGCGCTAGTTTTGAAGCGTTGTCTCTGTCCTGCCCCCTCCCCATTTCGGCACCCAGATGGCACACGGGGGCTCTGCCTTGTCCGAGCTAGGGGGCTGGCCCTGGAAGGGGCCGTCGCCGGCAGGCGCGTTTGGTTCCAGGGCGTTTAGCTCTTGCTCCGTCTCGATGAGCCGCGAACCAGCGCCTTGGCTGCAGCCGCCGGGGGGTCTGTCCCGGGGAAGGGCCCGGGGCGCTGCCAGGTTAGTGACCGCTGCTGCCTCTCGCTCCCAGACCTGCTGACAGCGTGAAATCCGCGAGAGGGGAGCGAGACAGGGAACCGAGTCCTCGCCACTAGGGGTCGCTGTTGTCCGAAAGCGGAAAGGTCCCCGCTCTGCTGCGAGCGGCGAAGGGAGCGACCTTCCCTCCCTCTTCTCGGAGCCGAGGCCGCCTCTCCGATTGGAATCTCACAGAACCCCCGTCGGCTCCTCAGTCCGCCGCAGGGAGCAGGAGCCTCGAGTTCACCTGGACCAAGTGTCGGTTCACACTGACAAGCTGCTGACACTGATGGAATAGAATAATATGATGAATTAATAGCTGTGTGCTGAGGGAAGAAATACTTGGCCAGATTTCCAGCCGGTACAAACCAGGGCAGTTTAGCCCGAGCCCGTGGAATTGTGCGTATTTCTGCAGGCTGGGAATCTCGGCCATTGTGCGTAGCGCGGTAACTAGCTCTGGCCCCTCAGTGCGGGGCCATGTGTGTTACCCGCAGGTTACTCC